CCTAACCATATCAAATATTGACCAGGGTACGTTCCGGTATACCGGACCGTACCCAGGGTACGTTCCGGCAGTACCCTGGGGGACATAGACCCTATGAGCTCTAGTAGAGCACGAAGGGTCGTTGTCGTATCAGGTACTATATATATGTACCCGATGTAGTTTTAGGTTGTTTAGTATTATGTTTATATTTTTATGTGAGGTATGTTTAGGGTTAGGGTTAGGGTTAGGGTTAGGGTACACTTCTGTAGTACAAGTCTGGTACACTTTGTGTATACATATATACGTACCTGACCTCGGGTACATATATGTAGTACCTGATACGGCAACGACCCCTTCAGCTCTAGTAGGCGTGTGCATGAGGCAGAGATGAGATCAAGAGCTAATAACACATGTATTCAAGAATGTATGATATAGACTATATTATACTAGTCTAGACTAGTACTAGGATATACTAATCTAGATTATATTATTTAGTCTATGTTGTACAATCCTGATGTAATGTATTATTACGCATAATGTATTATACATAATGTAGACGTGTAATGCGCTATACACACGTAGAAGTTGTAAAGGACTGTAAGAAAACTAAAGAGAAGAGAAAGACAAGAAGTAACAAGAAACGGATGAAATTTGCTCGCTTACAATAATGTACACATAATTATTGTATTATCATCTCTTGATGAGATCGCAGATGGGGGGAGGGTGGGAACCGTTGTCCATGGGAATCCAGGCTGGGCGAGGGAGGGGATCATGACAAATGAACTATGGCACACCCAGCTAGGGAGGCTCAGGGGTAGAGATATAATTATATAGCCCTCCAACGCCAATTCCATTCTAATCCAATCCACGTTCGTTTCACTTCAGTTTAGCCATTTCAGTTTCAGCCACACACTTCAGTTTAGTTTAGTTGAGTTGAATTGAATCTAGTATAATCCAGTGCATTGCGGTCCAATCTAGGCTAGTTTAGTTTGGGTCTTTAGGCTGGTTCGAAAGACTGCTGGCCATTTCATGAACTCGTGTTTCCGGCGGTGGGATTTGGCACGTACACAGCGTCCCTCTGGATTCTTTGAATTCGAATTCCACTGTATCAGTATGGGAAAAAATCCGAAGAAATGCGTAGTGCGCACCTATATAACAACCACATGCCAGCGGGCTTGGCCAAATGTTTCCTGCTGCTGCTGCTGCTGCTGGTGCTGCTTGCTGCTGCTGCTGCTGCTGCTGCTGCTG